GGCATGCTTAGACCTCCCAAATGGGCCTGAGGGGCCCAACTCTGGACTACGGGGCCGTGAGGCCTCACGACCCACATTTTGGGTGGCCTTATGGCCATGGACATTTTGGTCTTTGGTTTGCCTCGTTCAGGGCATACTCACATCAGGACTTTTTTACTGACGTAACTGTGGTCAGATACATTCAAGTAGGGCCGTAGTTACGGTCAGATACATTTGCAATTGTGCTACCTAGACGGATAGATAGATCGATCTATTAGGGGGGGCGAGAGAGAGAGAGAGAGAGAGAGAGAGAGAGAGAGAGAGAGGGCATGCTTAGACCTCCGAAATGGGCCTTAGGGGCCCAACTCTGTACCACGGGGCCGTGAGGCCTCATGACCCACATTTTGGGTGGCCTTATGGCCATGGACATTTTGGTCTTTTGTTTCCCTCATTCAGGGCATACTCACACCAGGACTTTTTTACTGACGTAACTGCGGTCAGATACATTCAAGTAGGGCCGTAGTTACGGTCGGATACATTTGCAATTGTGCTACCTAGTGTGACTATACTCTTAGGCAGCGTGGAGTCAGTTTTTTCTTTTTTTGTGTGGATTTGTGCTGCACTTAGTTTGTTTGCGTCTGATTTTGTCAGGGTTTTGACAGTGTCATTCAGAGCAAAATGAAAATCTAGTGGATTAGGGCCTAGTTGCACAACCATCCGCCACGCAATTCCTGGCAGATGGCCGCGATGAAAAAGAAGTAAAATGGTGAAAGAAGTAAAATGGTGGAGAGTTTGGAGGCGTGGTTGAACTTACTCGCCGCTATTTTACTTTCACACAAAAGTCCGGCCGCCCTGGAGCTGGGAACTGGCGAAGAAGAGGTTTCGTGGAGGGTTCACTACAGTAGGACGACCCTCCACAAAACAGCAGTAGATTGGAGACACAGCTACTGGCAAAATGCTCGGTCTTCATGTTAGCCGCCCCGGCCCCACCCCACTCCTCCCTCCCTCCCTCCCCCCGCTGCTGGTCCCACCCTACTTCCCGACCACTGCTGATTAGGGTGGGGGATGACATGCATCGCCTTAATTGTGACAAGTAGCTATGCTTGCAGGGGTCTCCTGTATAGGCTTAGGAGTAGTGGTAGGTAGTTAGGGAAAGGTGAAATTGAGAGAAGAATATAGCCTATTTAAAAAGTGAAAAAGAAACAGCAGTAGAGAGTCTGAAACTCGCCACACTCTGTGGCGGATTGAAAAACAAAACGGGTCAAAAGTTTTG